GATTGCTCGAGACACCAAACAACTGCAATGCTCAAGGTAACGCTGGTGATGTACCGTGCCAGGGGCTGTGCTGTGCTGCACTGTGATGAATTGAAGTGTGCCATGCCGCATTGATCTGTGCTGTGCTCTAGTGCGTTGTGGATCAGGTCGTTCTTGGCATCAGAATTCTGAACGGACGGATCTAGATCTTGAATTCGAACTGTCTGGACGCATATCTCGAGCTGGTCGCAACCGCGCGGGGCGCTCGACCAGCTCGAGCTCGAGATCTGATTCAGTTCCGTAACGGGACGAACCAAGAGGGGACGACTCCGAACCGACGCGAACCCACCGAGAGTGAACGGACAGAAGCTCGTCGAACCAAAGCGCCACGAACTGCATCAAGACGAACCGAAACGATACGAACCGAGACGAAGGCCGAACCGATCCGAATCGAAGCGAGACAAGAAAAACCAAGCTTCGGCTGACCATCCTGAAGCTGCATGGCGTCGCCTAACGAGGGAGCCGCACGGGTGCCCCTCTCGAATAACCAGGGCCGCGATTTGGCGTAAATTGTTCTTGACGCGTGCTGTGTTGCACTGTGCTGCGTCATGCTGTGCTGAACTGTGCTGTACTCCGTTCCGTTGTGGATCGAGCCATCCTTAGCACCCCGTTCCTGTCCGAACTGATCTGTATCTTAAGCTCAAGCTGCCTACGCGCATGGTTGGCCCAAAGCTGGCTGCAATCGTAATATGCGGCGCGTTCAACCAGCTCGAACTGAAGATCTGTCAGTTCCGAACTGGGCCGAACCAATGGCAGGCTTTCGCTGCAGGCGAGGCCCTCGCTCGAGAGATCCTCAAAAAATCCTGCAGAACGAGCGTTTCGCTCTAGACATCCCCAACACTTTCTCATATAGTGACTCGCCTGGGCGACCTGGACATGTGAAAACCGACGTTTCGCTCAAGAAGTCCTCAACACATCCTTATGTTAGAGATCCCGCTGGGCGACCTGGAACAAGCGTGAAAACACATGGATCCCTGTCGCCCCAGAGTGGAACAAGCGTGAAAGCATGCGAGGCCCTTGCGCTCCAGGGCGGAGCAAGCGTGAAAACACGTGTGTCTCTTTCGCTCCAGAGCGGAACAAGCGTGAAAACACGTGGTCCCGTTTCGCGCTAGAGCGGAACAAGCGTGAAAACACGTGGGTCTCCATCGCGCCAGAGCCAAATAAGCATGAAACAAGGGGGTCCCTTCGCCCCAGGGCGGAACAATTGTGAAAACACGTGGGTCCCTTTCGCGCCACAGCGGAACAAGCGTGAAAACACATGGGTCCCGTTCGCGCCAGAGCGGGACACACGTGAAAATACGTGGGTCCTTTTCGTCCCAGAGCGGGACAACCGCGAAAACACGCGGGTCCACTTCGCGCCAGAGCGGAACAAGCGTGAAAACAATGAGGCGTCCCTTTCGACCCAGAGCGGAACAAGCGTGAAAAACCATGGATCCCTTTCGCCGCAGGAGGTCTCCCTAGGAGGCCGCAAGCGGCCTTGCCCCAGGACGGAACGTGTCAAATTAGTACACATTCAGTGTCGACGCGTCAATTTGTTCCGGCTCTTGTGACCCCCCCCCACTCGGGGGCAAGACGACCACAGGTTAGATATCCCCCCCTGGGTGGCCCAGATACGCGAAAACACGTGGGTTCACGTGGGCCCCTTTCGCACCAGAGCGGAACAAGCGTGAAAGCACGAGGGTCCTTTTCGCCTCACAGCGGAACAAGCGACCGGAACAAGCGTGAAAGCACGTGGGTACCTTTCGATCCGGAGCGGAACAAGCGTGATCGCCCCAGAGCGGAACAAGCGTGAAAACACGTGGGTGGATTTCGCCCCAGAGCGGAACAAGCGCGAAAACACGTGGGTCCCTTTCGCCGCAGGAGGCCTCCCCAGGAGGCCGCAGGAGGGCTGCGTGTGCGCGCGTGCGTGCGTGTGTGCGTGTGTGTGTGTGTGTGCGTGCGTGCGTGCGTGCGTGCTGGTGGGCAGTTGTGTGGGTGGGTGTGGGTGTGGGTGTGGGTGTGGGTGTGGGTGTGGGTGTGGGTGTGGGTGTGGGTGTGGATGTGGGCGTGCGTGCGTGCGTGCGTGTGTGCGTGCGTGTGTGTGTGTGTGTGGTACGTGCTCCGTGTGTGTGCGTGTGCGTGTGCGTGTGCGTGTGTGCGTGTGCGTGTGCGTGTGCGTGTGTGTGTGTGTGTGTGTGTGTGCGTGCGTGCGTGCGTGCGTGCGTGCGCGCGTGGGTGAGTTCGTGCGTGCGTGCGTGCGTGCGTGAGTGCGCGCGCGTGCGTGCGTGCGTACATGCGTGCGTGCGCGCGCGCGTGCGTGCGTGCGTGCGTGCGTGCGCGCGTGCACGCGTGCGTGCGTGCGTGCGTGCGTGCGCGCGCTCGCGCGTGCGTGGGTGAATGGGTGCGTGGGTGCGTGGGTGCGTGGGTGCGTGGGTGCGTGGGTGTGTGGGTGTGGGTGTGGGTGTGGGTGTGGGTGTGGGTGTGGGTGTGGGTGTGTGGATGTGTGTGTGCGTGGGTGTGGGTGTGGGTGTGCGTGTGCGTGTGCGTGTGCGTGTGCGTGTGTGTGTGTGTGTGTGCGTGTGTGTGTGTGTGCGTGTGCGAGTGCGTGTGCGTGTGCATGTGCGTGTGCGTGTGTGTGTGCGTGTGCGTGTGCGCGTGCGCGTGCGTTTGCGTTGCGTGTGCGTTGGCGTTTGCGTTGGCGTTTGCGTTTGCGTTTGTGTTTGTCTTTGAGTTTGTGTTTGTGGTTGTGTTTATGTTTGTGGTTGTGTTTGTACTTGTGGTTGTGCTTGTGTGTGTGCTTGTGTTTGTGTGTCTGTGCTTGTGCTTGTGTTTGTATTTGTGGTTGCGTGTGCGCTTGTGCTTGTGTTTGTGTACTGTGTGTGTTTCTGGTTGTGGTTTTGGCTGTGTTTGTGTTTGTGTTTGCACTTGCGTTTGCGTTTGCGGTTGTGTTTATGTTTGTGTTTGCGTGTGTGTTTATGCTTGAGTTTGTGTTTGTGTTTGTGTTTGTGTGTCTGTTTGTGTTTGTGCTCTCGTTTGTGGTTGCGGTTGTGTTTGTGGTTGCGTTTGTGCTTATGTCTGTGTTTGTGTTGTGTTTGTGGTTGTGTTTGTGTTTGTGCTTGTGCTTGTGCTTGTGGTTGTGCGTTTGTTTGTGTTTGCATTTGTGTGTGTGTTTGTATGTGTCTTTAGTTTTGTGGTTATAGTTGTGGTTGTGTTGGCGTCTGTGTGTGTGTTTGTGTTTGTGCTTATGTTTGTGTTTGATTGTGTGCTTGAGCTTGTGTGTTTGCGTTTGTGCTTGTGTTTGTGCCTGTGCTTGCGATTGCGTTTGCGGTTGTGTGTGTGTGTTTGTGTTTGTGTTTGCGTTTGTGTTTGTGTTTGTGCTTGTGATTGTGTTTGTGTTTGCGTTTGTGTTTGTGTTTGTGTTTGTGCTTGTGCTTGTGTATGTGATTGTGGTTGTACTTGGGCTTGTGTTTGTATTTGTGAGTGTGGCTGTGTTTGTGTGTTTGCGTTTGTGTTTGTGTTTGTGCTTGTGTTTGTGTCAATGTTTGTGTTTGTGTTCGTGTATGTGTTGATGTTTGTGCTTGTGTTTGTGTCTGTGTTTGCGTTTGTGTTTGTGCTTGTGTTTATGTGTGTTTGTGTTTGTGGCTAGCTCTTAACCAGAAGAGGCTCGCTCTCGACCCGCAGACCAAAAAAGTGTGTGCTTGTGTTTGCGTTTGTGTGTTGTGTATGTGTTAGTATTTGTGCTTGTGCTTGTGCTCGTGTCTGTGTTTGTGTTTGTGCTTGTGTTTGTGTTTGTGGTTGTGCTAGTGCTTGTGTTTGTGTTTGTGCTTGTGTTTGTGTTTGTGTTTGTGTGTGTTTGTGTTTGCGTTTGTGTTTGCGTTTGTGTTTGTGTGTTGTGTTTGTGTTTCTGATTGTGCTTGTGCTTGTGCTTGTGTTTGTGTTTGTGTTTGTGTTTGCGTTTGTGCTTGTGTTTGCTTTATGCGCGTGTGTGCGCGTGCGTGTGCGTGTGCGTGTGCGCGTGCGTCTGCGCGTGCGGGTGCGCGTGCGTGCGCGTGTAATTACGTGTGTGTGTGTGCGTGTGTGCGTTTACTGCTTCTGCGTGCATGCGTGTCTCTGTGTGCGAAGAGAGGGAGACGGAAAAGGAGAAGGAGAAACGCGGGTGAGACGCGGCAGGGAAGAAAACCGGAACCCCACGAAGCATGTGGGGAACAGGCATTTCGCTCGAGATTTCCTCCAGAAATTATGAAAAGCTAGCGTCTGGCTCGGGACATCCTCACAAAAAATGTCGCCGGTCCTCTTCCCGCCTCGTTATTGATCGCAGAATACTTCCGCTGGCCTTCTTCAAGCCGAGGCGGGCGGGAAAATCCACGAAAAGAGAACCTGGGCCCGAGCCCTTTCCGGGAAAAAGACAACATGCGCTGCAGTCTGGGGTTTTCCCAAATGATACCGGAGAAAAAACCCAATCAGGGCTATAGGGCTAGGGGGCTATAGGGCTATAGGGCTATTGAGATATAGGGCTATAGAGCTATAGGGCTATAGAATTGTAGGGCTATAGGGCTATTGGGCTATTGGGCTATAGGGCTATAGGGAACCCCCGGGCACCCCCCGGGCACCCCCGGGCACCCCCCGGGCACCCCGGCACCCGGGCACCCCCGGGCACCCGGGCACCCGGCAGTGCGGCGAAAATCGGCGGCAAACCTAACCTAACCATATGAATCCGCTAGGACCCCTACAGAGGCAAGCTCTGATTGGGGAACCAGGCTCGGCCGATGTGCAAGGCCACCTCCTGAGCCGCGAGCGGCTCCCTAACTCAGCTCGGCCCCAAAAAGACGCGCTGTAAGATGCTGCGATATCAGGCACTCTGGCTGAGCCCCGTTTGCGCTGAACCCTGTTACGTACCTGCTGGCTGGTGGAAAGCCGACAGGATTCGCAGGATGATGCAGGGCAACCCGAACACGGCCGCCCCGCCCCTCGCGCGCCCGCGCCTGAACCGCCGCAGCGCGGCCTCCAGCGAGCACGCCGCGCAGACCACCTCCACTACACGACCCCGAGGGGCAGCATTAAGCGGAGCATCACGTCCTCCTCCTCCTCCTCCTCCTCCTCCTCCTCCTCCCTCCTCCTCCTCCTCCTCCTCCTCCTCCTCCTCCTCCTCACCCTCCTCACCCTCCTCACTCCTCCTCTCTCCTCCCTCCTCCTCCTCCTCCTCCTCCTCCTCCTCCTCCTCTCCTCCTCCTCCCTCCTCCTTGATCCTCCTCCTTGTCGTCCTCGACCTCCTGCTCCTCCTCCCTCCTCCTCCTCCTCCTCCTCCTCCTCCTCCTCCTCCTCCTCCTCCTCCTCCTCCTCCTCCTCCTCCTCATTTTCCTCTCCTCCCTTCCTCCCGCCCTCCCTTCTTCCTCCCTCCATCCCTCCCTTCCTCCCTCCCTCCCTCCTCCCTCCTCCCTCCTCCCTCCTCGTTCCTCCCGGCAAGATCCAGGGGGGGAAACTGCTCCGCCTGAATCCGCCCAACGAATGTCCCTCCTCTCCGTCGCTGCCTCGAGGGGCCCGCTGGCCCAGCCCACGCGGCGTGGTGACAGAGAGGGCGTCGCACGGGGCAAGCACGGGGGATGGGGTGTCGGGAGGTCGGGCCACTGCCCGCCTCGCGGTCTCCGAGGGCGTTCCTCCTGCCCGCAGTGGGAAGGCAGGGGCAAAGAACCCCAAGGTTCCTCTCCTCTTCCCTCCGGAAAACTGCACGGGCATCGTGTTTCTGGGAGGTCCGCGCGCATCTCCGAGAAACTACGCGTGTGCCTGCTTTATTGCACGTCGACCTTCGCTTCATCTTGCCGCTCCCCTCCTCCACCTCTGCGTGCCTCCGTCCTCCTCCCCCCCTCCCCTGCTTCGGTTCGACGCGTCCCGTCCGCTCTGATGCGGGGATCCATTCGTGATGTGCTGACCTGGCCAAGCTGGCAGTAGTCTGAAAGTTGCGTGGCGGCCTCTGCTGACATAACCGACGGCCGCGGCGCCCTCTCGAGAACCGAAAATGGACAATTCACCAGTCGACGTGTCAGGGGGGCGGGGAGGGGGAGGGGGAGGGGGAGGGAAAAGGGGAGGGGGAGGGGGAGGGGGAGAGGGCAAGCTAGGTGCGCTCGCGTCATACCTGACGTCCTTACGCCTCTATCGGACCGCGTGTCGTAGCGGACCTGTGGCTCCGCGCGCGCGTGCGTAGTGGGTGGTGGTGCACGTGCGTGCGTGCGTGCGTGCGTGTGTGCGTGGTTGTGGGTGTGGTGGTGGTGGTGTGGGTGGTGGTGGTTGTGATGGTGGTGGTGGTGGTGGTGGTGGTGGTGGTGCTGGTGGTGGTGGTGGTTGGTGCTGGTGGTGGTGGTGTTGGTACTGGTGTGGTGCTGGTTGTGGTTGTGGTGGTGGTGGTGGTGGTGGTGGTGGTGGTTTGGTGGTGGTGGTGGTGGTGGTGGTGGTGGTGGTGGTGGTGGTGGTGTGGAGGTGGTGGTGGTGGTGGTGGTGGTGGTGGTGGTGGTGGTGGTGGTGGTGGTGGTGGTGGTGGTGGTGGTGGTGGTGGTGGTGGTGGTGGTGGTGGTGGTGGCGGTGCGGCGCGGTGGTGGCGGGCGGATGGGCGCGCGAGAAAAAGGCCCGCGCTGGGGCGAGAACGCCATCCTGAACGACGGAGGCCAAGCACCGATCCGAAAATGAGGCCCACGCTGCAGCGGGAGCACGATTCGGAACGATTCGGGAGCAGAAATGAGGCCGGCGCCTCAACGAGAGCAGCGTTTTGGGAAAAAATGACGCCGGCGCCTCAGCGAGAGTCGTTTCCCGGGATTTCCCGGGCATCCTGTGTGTAAAAAAAAATACGCGGAGGGTGCGCGGCTATCACCCGGACGCCATCAGGGGAAGGATTCGGGAGCAGAAATGAGGCCGGCGCCTCAACGAGAGCAGCATTTTGGGAAAAAATGACGCCGGCGCGAGAGCAGCATTTTGGGAAAAATGACGCCGGCGCCTCAGCGAGAGTCGTTTCCCGGGATTTCCCGGGCATCCTGTGTGTAAAAAAACAGTACGCGGAGGGTGCGCGGCCATCACCCGGACGCCATCAGGGGAAGAGGGAGAGTATATTCATATTGAGTAATTGTTGAGGAGGAGGAGGAGGAGGAGGAAGAGGAGGAGGAGGAGGAGGAGGAGGAGGAGGAGGAGGAGGAGGAGGAGGAGGAGGAGGGGAGGGGGAGGAGGGGGAGAAGGAGGAGGAGAGAGGGAGGAGGAGGGGGAGGAGGAGGAGGAGGAGGAGGGGAGGAGGAGGAGGGAGGGGGGAGGAGGAGGAGGCGGAGGAGGAGGAGGAGCTGGGGGCTCTGTCCACCCCCGCCCGCCGTCCCTCCCCGGGGACCTCCTCGAGGCGCTCCGTGGCCCCCCCGCCGTACGCGGCGGCCAGCATGGCCGGCAGGTCCGCCGCGGGAGCCTGCCAGGCGCGGGAGGCGGAAGTGGTTCCTCTCGACCGTCAGGAGGAGGGGGAGGAGGAGGGAGGAGGAGAGGAGGGAGGGGGAGGAGGAGGAGGAGGAGGAGGGGGGGGGAGGAGGAGGAGGAGGAGGAGGTGGGAGGAGGCGGAGGAGGAGGAGGAGAGGAGGAGGAGGAGGAGGGGAGGAGGAGGAGGAGGGGGGGGAGGAGGAGGAGGAGGAGGAGGAGGAGGAGGAGGAGGGCAGGAGGAGGAGCAGGAGGAGAAGGACCACCTCCCTCTTCAATTATGGTGATGGTGGATGGTGGTGGTGGTGGTGGTGGTGGTGGTGGTGGTGGTGGTGGTGGTGGTGGTGGTGGTGGTGGTGGTGGTGGTGGTGGTGGTGGTGGTGGTGGTGGTGGTGGTGGTGGTGGTGGTGGTGGTGGTGGTGGTGGTGGGGGTGGTGGTGGTGGTGGTGGTGGTGGGAAACAGGCCCATCAGCATGGGGGGGAGAGTGAGAAACCATGTGTTCATGAGTGAGAAACCATGTGCTCACACCTTCCCAGCCCTGCTGCGCTGGGCTCAGGTCTTGAGCAAAGCGCTGCTCGTGCGTCTCCTTCTCCTCCCGCCTCCCTCCTTTTGTATCGACGGAGCTGTGTTCTCGCGACGCTCCCTCGGGCCAAGTCGAGCCGATACCATCCTGCTACAGACTCCCGCCTCCCAAAGAAAACGGAAAGGGCGCCGTGGAGAGCCGTGTGCCCTGAGTGCGCGACGAGCCGTGAGGCGCCGTGGGGCGCCGTACTGGCAGGTCGTGCCACGGACGTGGACCAGAAAACGAACGGCACCACCCCACCTACGGCCCCACGGGGTTTGGCGTGTACCAGGAGGTCCGGCGTGGGGGTTCACGTGGTATACGCTACGGCCCTCGATGAGAGCCGTAGCGCAACATGGAGGGCCGTAAGTGGGGTGGTGTCGTTTGTTTCTTGGGTCGAGGACGGCCCAACCCGCGCGCGCTGCGAAGCGCCGTGCGAGCCCTGCCGTGCGTGTGCCGCGTCGTGCAGCGCCGCACCGTGCGCGCCGTGCCGTGCGCGCATGTGCCGAACCGCCTGTGGTGCTCCGCACGTTGATGGGCCGACTTTCCACCGTCGCTGCCACAGGTAGGAGAGGAAGGAAGGAGGAGGAGGAGGAGGAGGAGAAGGAGAAAGAGGAGGACCTCCCCATCCTCCCGGTCCTACCTACAGTAGTGGTGGTGGGAAATTGGCCCATCACACGTGGCGTGCCACGCGCCGATGGGGGGGAGGTCGATATTTTCAAAAGTCTTCGTCGGGTCATCACGGTTGCTGAGTGCCTCGGAAAGCGTTCCAACGGCGGCGCCTCGGCGCGAGCGGCCGTTGGAGACTTGAGCTATGACCCGGAAACCAAACAATAAAGGGGCGTCCTTGCTCGGGGCAACCATGTTAAATATCCCCCTGGATGGCCTGGACACCTAAAAACACATGGTGCCAGCTCGGGAAACCATGCTATGTATGGTCGAGGGTTTGGGCCCCCCCCCCAATGCTAATGCCATCGTGCCCCCCCCCCCCTCGCGATGGTCCCCCCCCCCTCCCCCTGTGGATGTGGTGTGGGTGTGGTGTGTTGCTGTGGGTGTGTGTGGGGGGTGACCAAATGTCCTCCCCCCCCTCCCACCCTGTGGGTGTGGTGTGGGTGTGCGTGTGGCTGTGGTTGTGGCGTCATGCCGACGTGCTTTCGGAAAGCTCCGGTGCTCGACGTCGTCGCCGCCGCCGCCACTGGTGCCGTCGACGTCGTCGTTGTCGTCGACGTCGTCATCGGCGTTGTCGTCGTCGTCGCCGTCGTCGTCGTCGTCGTCGTCGTCGTCGTCCGTCGTCGTCGTCCGCTGTCGTCCGTCGTCCGTCGTCCGTCGTCGTCGTCGTCGTCGTCGTCGCCCGTCGTCGTCGTCGTCGGTCCGCGTCGTCGTCGTCTCTCTCTCATCCCTCCTCCTCCTCCTCCTCCTCCTCCTCTCTCTCCTCCTCTCCTCCTCCTCCTCCTCCTCCTCCTCCTCCCCCCCACCATCCCATCTGGGGGGGGGGGGGCCCGAGGACCCTGGGACCCATCTCACCTGGGGAGGGGGCCCGTGGGCCCGGAGCCCGCGATCATATACACCCCTGAATGGCCTGGACTCGTTACAACACGTGGTCCTTGCTCAGAATAATCATGTTAGATACCCCCCTGGGTGGACTGGATATGTAAAAACACGTGGTTCAAGCTCAGGACCACCATGTTAGATATCCCCCTGGGTGGCCTGGACACGTAAAAACATATGGTTCCAGCTCGGGACCACCATATTAGATACCCCCCATGGGTGGCCTCCACTTGAAAACTCGTGGTCCAGCCCACCCAGGGGGGATATCTAACATGCGGTCGCCCGGAGCGCAGGAGGGCCAACGAACGCCCAAAGGCGCCTGGAGGCCAAAAAGTAAACGAACCAATACCAAATACAAATAAACTCTCGACGTTCCGTTCCGAGTCCCAGGAAGGATCCAGGAGGCCCATGTTAGATACCCCCTGAGTGGCCTGGACACGTGAAAACACCTGGTTCCAGCGCGGGACCACCATGTTAGATACCTCATGGGTGGCGGCTTGAACACGTGAAAGCACGCGGTTCCAGCTCAGGACCACCATGTTAGATACCCCCCTGGGTGGCGTGGACACGTGAAAACACGTGGTTCCAGCGCGGGACCACCATTTTAGATACCCCCTGGGTGGCGTGGACACGTGAAAACACGTGGTTCCAGCGCGGGACCACCATTTCAGATACCCCCTGGGTGGACAGGGCTCGGGAAAACACGTGGTTCCAGCTCGGGACCACCATGTTAGATACCTCATGGGTGGCTTGGACACGTAAAAGCACGCGGTTCCAGCTCAGGACCACCATGTTAGATACCCCCCTTGGGTGACGTGGACACGTGAAAGCACGCGGTTCCAGCTCAGGACCACCATGTTAGATACCCCCCTGGGTGGCGTGGACACGTGAAAACACACGGTTCCAGCGCGGGGCCACCATGTTAGATACACCCTCTGGGCGACCTGGGCACGTGAAAACACATACTTCCAGCGCGGGACCACCATCTTAGACACCCCCTGGGTGGCCTCAACAGGTGAAACACGTGGTTCCAGCTCGGGACCAACATGTTAGATACCCACCTGGATGGCCTGTACACGTGAAAACACGTGGCTCCAGCGCGGGACCACCATGTTAGATACCCACCAGTGTGGCCAGGACACGGAAAAACATGGTACCAGCCAGCTTGGGACCACCATGTTAGATACCCACCTGGGTGCCATGGACACGTGAAGCGACGTGGTTCCGGCTCGGACAGAACATGTGAGATACCCCCCTGTGTGGCCAAGGAAATCCTGGAAAAACAAACGAATTAGTCGAGAAATCCTCGAAATTGATGCGCGCGGAACGCGGCACGCGCGAGACATCCTCGGAATTCCTGCGAGCGGGACGTGAAAACAAGCATTTCGCCTGAGACATCCTCTGAATTCTGGCCCCCTACGAGGCCCCCGCTCCAGACATCCCCCAACTCTGCAAAACCAGCGTTTCGCTCGAGACATCCTCAACAAATTCTGAAAAACAAGCGTTTCGCCTGAGACGTCCTCAAAAATGATTCCGCCGGCCTCCTTCAAACTCGTCATTCATCTCAAAATAATTCCGCCGGCATCATTCAAGTCGAAACCGGGGTAACAGTACTAAAAAACATGATGGACCCACGAACCCGGAAAGGGATTTAGACATGTGGAGCATGGACACGTTTTCACGATACCCAACTGGGCAACACCTCACGAAACATCCCACGAGACACTTCACGAAACATCCCACGAGACACCTCACGAAACATTCCACGAGACACCTCACGAAACATTCCACGAGACACCCCGCGAAACATTCCACGAGACACCCCACGAAACATTCCACGACGACAGGCAACCACTCAACCAAGGCGGTGTGGTCGTGCTGGGGAGTGGTCGTGCTGGCGGTGTGGTCGTGCTGGGGAGTGGTCGTGCTGGGGTGTGGTCGTGCTGGGGGGGTGGTCGTGCTGGGGGGTGGTCGTGCTGGGGGGTGGTCGTGTGGGGCGTGGTAGTGTTGGGCGTGGTCGTGCTGGGGAGTGGTCGTTGCTGGGGTGTGGTCGTGCTGTGGTGAGGAGGCGTGCTGGGGTGTGGTCGTGCTGGGGTGTGGTCGTGCTGGGGTGGGGTCGTGCTGGGGTGTGGTGCTGGGGTGGTCGTGCTGGGGTGTGGTCGTGCTGGGTGTGGTCGTGCTGGGGAGTGGTCGTGCTGGGGTGTGGTCGTGCTGGGGGGTGGTCGTGCTGGGGGGTGGTCGTGCTGGGGGTGTGGTCGTGCTGGGGTGTGGTCGTGCTGGGGCGTGGTCGTGCTGGGGCGTGGTCGTGCTGGGGCGTGGTCGTGCTGGGGTGTGGTCGTGCTGTGGTGAGGTCGTGCTGGGTGTGGTCGTGCTGGGGTGTGGTCTTGCTGGGGTAGGGTCGTGCTGGGGTCGGGTCGTGCTGGGGTGTGGTCGTGCTGGGGTGTGGTCGTGCTGGGGTGGGGTCGTGCTGGGGTGGGGGTCGTGCTGGGGTCTGGTCGTGCTGGGGTGTGGTCGTGCTGGGGTATGGTTGTGCTAGGGTGGGGTCGTGCATTTCGCTCGAGACATCCTGCCAAAATTCCAGGAAATCGTACAAAAACAAACGAATTAGTCGAGACATCATCGAAATTCCTTCGCGCGGGGCGCTTTTCCGCGTCGCGGTCGGCTCTGCAAAACAAGCGTTTCGCTCGAGACATCCTCGGCAAACTCTGCGGAGCAAGCGTTTCGCTCGAGACATCCTCAACGCACGAAAAAGTGCCCGCACCCTGTGATTTATCGATCGGGATTTCAAAAACAAGCGTTTCGCTCGAGACATCCTCAAATTTTAATCCGCCGGCCTCCTTCGACCTCGATATTTATCAGGGAAAAAATCCGCCGGCCTCCTTCAAGT